ATTCTGGGAGTTGAAGTCCACATGCCTTCAAATGGTCAAGGTTGAGAAACACTGCCCTAAAAGAAGGCAAATGACCAGCTGTCTGCAAGGAGTACAGTTGTGGCCAAAATTGTGGAAACCTTTTGGGAAAAGTGTATTTTTGAGGTTGGATGGCTAATAACACCACTTTTTTTGGGGGTGGGGAGTAGTACCATAAAATTATATATCAATGGAAAGATAATTTAATCAAGAATGTCATGCAACAAAGTTTGTTCAATTATCTGGACTGCATTCTATGAAATGTTAGAGCCAAATAAACAGAAAAAGGAAGCACAACTTGCTCAGGTTGATCTCAGGTAGCTTTCCTTCACCTGATTGTAGCCAATGAGCATGAGTGTTTAGAGAGCCAATCGGGTGTCATCTTGTTTTGGCCATGAGCCAATCAGATCACAGTGGGATCCAGTGATTGATGTCCTGTATTGAAGCTGAGAGGAGGACATTTGTCAGTGTGTTATGTGATCGCTATCAAGTTGGTTGGTTTTTTTGGTGTTCTTTCATTTAGTGAGCTTGTAAAACGTAATAAAATTAAAATAATGGTGCAAAGCGTTGATTGGTCGCCCAGAAAGCGATGTAAACTAGTATTGTTAAGTGAACAAGGCTACAGTTATAAAGAAATGAGAAGAAAAATGGGTGGAAACTTAACCCAAGGTGGCATTTCTACTGTACACTTTTCCCAAAAGGTTTCCACAATTTTGGCCACTGCTGTATAAATCCTTCCGTTCCCCACCATCCAGCCTGAGCCGAAGAAGCTTCTGGGATGAGAAGCGAAACATCTTCAAAGGAAAACGATAAAAGTCCAGGTGCCTCCTGAAAAAGCACCTTTGGGACTTTAGCCATGACCTGCCTGGAGGGCTGAGAACCTCCCAAGACACCTGGAGGAACAGGTGATTTAAGAAACGGGGTCCTAGAAAAATGGTATTTGGAAATTAGTCAAGCTTAAAACAGGATCTGGATTTGTAGAAGCTAAAATGTCATTGAAAATTACTACGGATCGATTGAATTTTATTTAGAAACGTACTAATTTGATTGTATTATTCTAATTGAGAGAAATAGAGAGGGGATTTTTTAAGGAGCTAAATTTGAACTGTACATTTATGACTTTGCTTGTGGATAACTGATTACCCTTTCTCCACGAGGTTTCCTAAGCACTTTGATGTAAAAATTGAAAAATGAATAAAACTTGTTTTTTTTTTTAAAAAAAACAAGAAACAGGGTCCTACAGATGCTCTCCCTTATTCTAGGATGGATTAGCAGCATCTTCGTAGCCGCCTCTCTCTCCGCTGCCTAATACGCCAGGGAGGTCCAATCTTGGCCTGGCCTACCTCGAAGGACTGTCAGCCGAGCATAATTAGCAGCTCCCCTTTTTTTTTTTTTTAAACCTTCACCATTCTTTTTGCAGCTGGACTCGGATTCCTCCAAGCAGGAGGGCCGAATACTCGCCGCCCGGCTCTCTTTGGCTACTCATCTCCCCTGGGGGGCCCCTCTCCCAGCAAGCCCCAGGGCCACACGTACCGGACTCGTCTTCCTCTTCGTCCTCCTCATCCTCAGCTGCGGCCAAGTGCCCGTCGCCTCCATCGCCCCCCTCCTCGCCTTCCCCGTCCTGGAAGATCTCTTCCGCAATGGCTTCCTTCTCGTGTTCCTCCTTGCCGTAATCCTCCTCCTTGTCGTCTTCATCATCGGACATTTTCCGTACCCGCCTGAATTTTTGCTGTGGAGGGACACATTTGAGTCAACACCCGGGTCTCTGACCTCAAGGAGGCCTCCCCTTCCCCGCCCCAGGGCCTTCCGTCGCCACCAACCAAGGGACCAGCTGTTTCAAGCAGCAAAGCCCCCAGAGCAGGGGTCCTAACCCTGGCAACTTTAAGACTTGTGGACTTCAACTCCCAGAATTCCTCAGCCAGTCTCCAACCTTGGCCATCCGTGGACCTCAACTCCCAGAATTCCCCAAAGGCATGACTGTGTGGGGCACGTGTGCGGATAGGGGGGGGGCGTTTTTTCTTGACCGTTTGAGCAGGGGGTTGGACTAGAAGACCTCCAAGGTCCCTTCCAATTTCATTATTCTGTAGGGAGGGGTAGGCGACCGTGGCTCTTTTATGACTCGTGGACTTCAACTCCCAGAATTCCTAAGCCAGCATGGGGGAATTATGCCCCCCTTCATGACTGGTGGACTTCAACTCCCAGAATTCCTGAGCCAGCCATGCTGAGGGGAAAGGGAGAGGTTTCCAAGCTGAGCCATGTTGGCTCAGGAATTCTGGGAGTTGAAGTCCACCAGTCATAAAAGAGCCAAAGTTGCCTTCCCCTGCTGTAGGGCAACAGTCTCCTAACTTGGCCACTTGAAGACTTCTGGACTTCAACTCCCAGAATTCCCCAGGCGGCTGGGGAATTCTGGGAGTTGAAGTCCACAAGTCTTCAAGTGGCCAAGGTTGAGGACCCCTGCCCCAGGGGACCCCCGAAGGAACGGGTGAGTTGGGGAAGAGCTGCCTACGGATGTCCACTAGCAACACAGGCCTTCTCCTGAGGCAGGGCGGGCTGAGATGGGACAACTCGCCACGGCCAACTGAACGACAGAATGACCGAGTTGGAAGGGGCCTGGGAGGTCTTCTAGTCCAACCCCCTGCTCACCACGGCCAACTCACTGCACCCAATTCACTGTGGGAAAACTCACCGGGGGTTCGCTGACTTCCTTTTATTTTGGTTGACGGTGTTTTCATCAAAATTGTCTTATCTCTTGCATCCAAAGAAACCAATCCAATTGTTAGCAGCTTTTGTAATGCTTTGGTGGATAATAAAAAGAACCGATCCCCCATCCAATTCTCCTACTCTGAGTTGTCCTGCAACGGGTTGGCCACAGTGAGTAGGCCATGGTGAGTTAGCCGTAGGCCTGGGGTTGACAGTCGTGGCCAAAATTGTGGAAACCTTTTGGGAAAAGTGTATTTTTGAGGTTTGATGGCTAATAACACCACTTTGTTTTTGGAGTAGTACCATAAAATTATATATCAATGAAAAGATAATTTAATCAAGAATGTATCGCAACAAAGTTGGTTCAATTATCTGTACTGTATTCTATGAAAAGTTATAGCCAAATAACCAGAAAAAGGAAGCACAAATTGCTCAGGTTGATCTCCGGTAGCTTTCCTTCATCTGATTGTAGCCAATGAGCGTGAGTGTTTAGAGAGCCAATCGGGTGTCATCTGTTTTGGCCATGAGCCAATCAGATCACAGTGGGATCCAGTGATTGATGTCATGTATTGAAGCTGAGAGGAGGACATTTGTCAGTGTGTTATGTGATGGCTATCAAGTCAGTTGGGTTTTTTCGCGTTCTTTCATTGAGTGAGCTTGCAAAACGTAATAAAATTAAAGTCATGGTGCAAAGAGTTGACTGGTCGCCCAGAAAGCGATGTAAACTAGTACTGTTAAGTGAACAAGGCTACAGTTATAGAGAAATGAGAAGAAAAATGAGTGGAAACTTAACCCAAGGTGGCATTTCTACTGTACGCTTTTCCCAAAAGGTTTGCACAATTTTGGCCACTACTGTATTTTATTCATTTTTTGGTTAACTTTATGGGTTGCCTATCTCAGGGCTTTTCAACCAGTGGTATGGGTATCACCTGTGGTACATTGGCACCTGGCAGGTGGTACGCGACCATCCTAGAAAAGTAGCAGGGGAGGGGAATGAGCTGAACCGGTGGCAGCACCGCACAAGCCTGAGCGAGAGACGGCTGGAGCTGCAGGGCTCAGCAGAAGCGCCAGGATCAGTGCTTCGGGGTTGTCAGGGCTCAGTGGAAGCGCCAGGATCAGCGCCAGGCTCCAGCTGGAGCTCAGTGTTGATCCAGACGCTTGTGCTGAGCCCAGAAGAAGCGCCGATCAGCTGGAATGTTGCAGCCTCTCCAGGGTCTTGTGATTTACATTCAGATCCTTGGCAACTGATTCATGTTTATGACGGTCACAGTGTCCCAGGGTCATGTGAAGGGACCAAAACCTGCTGCAACCACCCAGCAGACGGGGGGAATAAAACCCAAACACCCCCCACCCCACCCCCGCTGCCAATCCCCAACAGAAACGCTCACAACCATGAAAACCTCGGACAGGAGGAAGAGCGCCGCCGGGCGGGCAGGCAGGTGTCTTGCTCAGCACTTTTTTCAGTGCCATTGTAACTTTGAACAGTCACTAAGTGAACTATTGTAAGTGGAGGACGACTAGTACTTTATCACTTTTTTCCTTTTTTGGGGGGGGGTCATCAAGTTTTTGACCCCTTGCTAGGCGATTGGTGGTACTCGGATGTTGCCATATCCTAAAAGTGGCACAATGGGTGAAAAGGTTGAAAAGCCCTGGCCTATCTCACCGGGGGGCCCAGTGGCTTACAATACCACAAAGAAAGACAATAGCAACAGAACGTAGACTTATATACCGCTCCGCAGGGCTTTACAGCCCTCCCTGGGCAGTTTGTAATCTCAGCCCCCCAGAATCTGGGTCATCCTTTTACCGACCTCGGGAGGGACATAAACAGAAGCCAAATAACAGAACTGGAAAATAAACAATGCAAAAGGACACAAGGAGAACAGAAGGGTCCCAAGGACCACCTTCCCCCCCCTTGACCTTGCAGTCCCAGAGGCCTCCCATGAAACTCACCCGTTTCACTTTGACGCCCAGGTTTTCTTCAATGAGGTCAAAGTCGTCGTCCTCCAGGCGGTCGTCAAAATCTGTCGGGAAAGAGGAAGTGATGCCGAAGGGGTTTTTGCCAGCGCTGGTTTTGCTGGCCTCCGTGCCGAAATGATGTACTCAATAAAGCTTTACGTTAAGAGTTCGAAAGGACT